AACCAAAGGAAAGTATGATTTTTAAACCTTGATAAACTGATCGACGCAACAATTGTTTCACCTCCATTCGCCTCAAGCACTTGGGCCGGCGCATGTTGTTTACAAGGGGAGGCTCACATGTCAACAATCCACCGTGGGTGGCCTTATGTCGATATCTTGGCACCTTATGGCTCCGGACCAAGCGCTAGGAACCAAAAAGTGCTTCTTGCATTTACAACACCATCATCATCATCATCATCATCATCATCATCATCCTCATCATCATCATCCTCATCCTCATCCTCATCCTCATCCTCATCGTCGTTATCACCACCATCATCATCATCTCAAAATCACCACCGCCACTATCATCATCCTCATCATCACCATCATCATCACCCTCATCACCATCATCATCACCATCACCATCATCACCGCCATCATCATCACCATCATCATCACTATCATCATCATCATCATCATCATCATCATAATCATCAAAATCACCACCACCACCACCACTATCATCATCATCACCACCATCAACATCACCATCATCATCATCACTATGATCATCCTCATCATCATCACCCATGATCATCATCATCACCACCATCACCGTAATCACCACCATAATGAACATCATCACCATCATCATTACTATCATCATCATTATCATCATCATCATCATCATCAGCATCACCACCATCACCGTAATCACCACCATAATGAACATCATCATCATCATCATCATGAAAATCACCACCACCACTATCATCATCATCATCATCATCATCAATATCACCAGAATCATCTGCATCTGAAAACGTTCCCAAATGTCCCTTATATCATGCATCCATTTGCAAATTTCCGAAACACCATTTGGCTGTTCAGCTTCTGACAGACCCTGCCCAAATGAATCCCCAGGACACAGCCCTGACTCCTCTGGAGTCAGGTGTGGAGCGCGCGCATGGGTCGAGAGCGCCTGAATCGCTGGATGATCTTTGACCCAAATCGTCCCGGTAAGGGCAAGTTTTCTCGTGTCGCGTTGCTTTCAAATGGCGAATCCTGCACTTGTGCATGTCTCACAAATGATTGTGAACAAATAACACCAGCAGTACCATTGTGTGATTCCTGAGGTTCCGGTTGAACCACTGATGAATCCTGGGCGTAAGTCGATTGGTCATGTGACCACCTATTGAGCCTGCTGAAAAATCAAACCCATCGCACGCTTTTTGCCTCGTACTCATCGGCGTGATCCAGCAGCTTGCAAACGCTGGCGCTTTCCCAAACCTTGCTCTCACCACCAAGCTGTGACTCAAATGAAATTAATAATAATAAATAAAGATAATAAATAAAGATAATAAATAATAATAACTAATAATAAATAAAAATAATTAATGATAATAATAAAGGTGTGCTGTTCCTCTCTGTTCTGTATCTATCCAATGCAAACTGAACTCATCTAATCCAATAGTCAGCCACTCAATGAGCCAGTCCATGAGACACTCAGTCAGTTCTTCAACTGCCCTGCAAAAAAAGAGCAAGCATGACCTCACAAGAGTGATTTTGCGGTCTGTAATCATCAGTGCGCAATGCTTGCAAGGAACTTTGACTCCCCGAGAAAGCTCTGCCCTGCAAGGGACTGTTCCAACTGGTTGACCCAAAGACTGGATGCTGTTGGAAGCAGCACCCAGCCGCAACTGCTTGCCACTGACACTGATGAAATCTATCAAACTCCAAAGCCCAAGACTGACACATTCCAGGGTTCCTAGTTGCTTCACTTCACGCAGTGCGTGCACAGGTGAAGCTCCAATCCAGCCTGCTGCATGGCGAGATCTTGAAATCAGTTGCTGCAAAGACCTCAAAGTCCGATTTCAAGCGCTCGCAGTAAGATTCGACCTCTCCTCTCGCCGAAGCGCCGCCGACAGCCCCCGGCCCCGGATTTAACAAGAGAGGGCGAGAGAGGTGGAGTCTGATATGTTTTCCAAAATCATATCGATATGGCTGTCAGATCCGAGGCACCTTTCAATGGCTGACCTCTCTTACAAAACACATCAAAACACATCAAAACACTTCAGCCATTTTAAGCCTGCAAAATCATGGTAGTGCGGCCCCCAAACTCCAAAACCATCCTCCCATTCCATGTTGCCACGTCCACAACGGCGCCTAAAGGTCCTGTGATCCATCCATTGACGCCTTCATTCGCAATCTTCACCCGAGCCTGGAACTGGAGGAGGTGACAACCGTGACAACGGTGACACAACCCCACGGGTGCTCAGTGCTCTCTTTGGCCCGGGCCACCCAACCCTTAGATTTGGAGAAGCGCCAAGTATCTCAAAAAAGATTAGTTCTTGTTGTACTGAAAGGGCAAATCCACAAGTTACATCAAATACATCCAACAGGCAAAGGTACTCTAGATATCTCCAGGTATCTCTAGACCCTTTCAAACGTTGGACCTTGAATTTTCCTGCGCCTGCAGCTTTGCCTCCACTAAATCCTGCCGCAGCTTTTCGATCAA